CAATGAAAGAACATCTTCACCAGTAAGAATCCCGAATGAACAGAACAAAAGAGCACTTTAATTGTGGTTTGCACTCAGCTGGAGCACCTCACCCTCAAGTTGCTGGAGAAAAAGAGTCACAGAAGTGGAAAAAAAAGGTTCCAAACCAAAAATTAGGGCTGCCAGCAGCAGGAACTGAGGAACACAAGTCTAAACTGCCCCTGGAGGAGGACCTTTCTGACAAGCCCTGGATACACCCACCAAAAGCTGAGCCCCGTATAGGGCAACGGCCTGCAGTGCTATGGCTCATCCAGGGAACCAGGTGCCCAGAAACAGCCAGTGCTGCCAGTCTGGAATTGTCCCCTGGAGACAGAGATTAAAAAAAAAAAAAAAGTCACCAAATCATTAACACAAGCCTTAACTATTCAGAACACATACCTTAAAACAGTGCGAAGTAAAACGTTTCTACAATCTGGATTTATTATTTTTTTCTTTATTACAACATAAATTCTTCTCAAATAACAGAAGGATTTAACAGTGTTCAGTTTGTTATATATTAGAACCAAAATGACATATTTAAAATAAAAATTTATCAGAATACAAGGAAAATCCCAACAGAATATACAAATTGTGTATATATATATATATATATATCACATACTGTGATTGTGTAGTTCACAAGCACAGGAACTAAAGTTGTAATGAATCATACAGGAAATTTGTCATTAAAAGCAGAAGGAAAACGACATGAATCCTTTAGGGTTTTAATCACAAACTTAAGATTATTTTTTTTTTCTCTTTAAAATAGATGCATTATTAAAAAAAAAAACATCACTACAAAGAGACACGTGGTGCTTAGTTGATGGCATTAATTCTGTAACCCAAACAAGGAAACTAATCCACTTTGAGTAGCTAAATTATTTTTTGCACTATTTACATACTTTACTGAAGTATTTTCATCCCAGAGCCTCAGCAAGCATCTTAGAATATTAATGAGTGAAGCCTGGCAGCACTCCAGTGTTAGCGAGGAAGACAGTAACATCATTCTCATGTTATCAGCAAGGAAACTGAGGCACTGGGGTTATGCAGATCCAGGTAACTGCAAGAAAGACCACTCCTGGATCTTGATCCTCTTAAGAGACAGGTCTTGATGGAGAGACTTGTCTTCCTCCTTGTTAGATGGCTGGTGACTGCGCTGAGCGCTGTTTGAAACCTGGTCAGTTTTTTTCTTGTTTAAATCGCTGCAAAGTAGGTGACATCTATCCAGCTATAGTGTCACTATGATTGCCTTTATTCAAAAAAAGCCCTTAATGTTTTTCCTTTTTAGATCAAAAAGCGACAACAGCAAGAAGTGCATCTTCAATCCCTCCAAAGACCTTTGGAAGGCTGTCTCATTACACCCAAAATACTGCAATTGTTCCCTCAATCTGTGCAAAGGTAAATACTGAAAACCAGTAACTTTAAAAGACAGAATTGCATTATTTATAAAAAAAAAAAAAAGTAAGTAACAGCTACTGGACAAGAGTGTGAAACAAAACCACAGCTTTAAAGTCAAAATGTCTATATAGATATATAAAATGTCTATATGCTCACAGAAGCTGTAATTTAAATTTTCGGGCATTGGGAACATTCCTTCGTCAATCAAGTATTTGAAAAAAAGTTAGCAGAGAGATTCTCAGCCAGGGTGTGGCCTTTATAAACCAACATGAAACATTTCACATGGTCCATAATCACAAGGATTTTACTTCCTTGGACAGCAAAATGTCATACCACATCAATAAGGTGATTCAAAAAGACCTTTAAAAGTAACTTGGCAATAATGTTTGCTGAATGACTAAAAAGGAAATAAAAACTTGTTGCAGATCTAAGACAGCATGAATTTGCAAGAAAAACCTAAAAAGCCAATACTTGAACGTGGGACAGAAGCATCCAGCAGAAATCCAGCCATTTTAAGGCCATTAAGGAGTGCGCATAATTTATTCACAGGCATCTTGCTGTTTACATTTTGGCAACTACAACGTCTTAATGTGGGAATAAAAAGTCACGGACCTCTGCTGTCTCACAGCAGCGAGGAGCAGGCCAGGCAGCAGGGGACAGGACTGCTGGGAGCACAGGTGACCCAGCGCTCTGGCGCAGGACATACCCAGTGTTGTCCGTCGTGCCCCAGTAACAGATTCTGGCCAGTGCCAGTTGCCTGGCAGTTGTCTGACCTCAGAAGATTCACTATCGGAAAGAGGCTTTACGCACGCTACAGCGTCGTTAGCAGCATCGTAAGGTAAGTATCTAGGGCCTCGCTTTCCTCAGGGAAGCGGACGGACATAAATATGCTTCTTCTGTGGTTACTGCAGGGATCCCTGCCCCGGCATCTGCGCTGGCTGACAAACTGGTCCCATCAATCTCTCCTTGCGGTCCTGACCTAAGAGTGGCAACCCACAGCCTGCATCGCAACCGCAAATACTGCACAGTGATTTAAGGAGCTTTTCTCGTTCTCAGCCCCAAAACGCTTCTGGAATATTCCCCATTTCTTCTCCTTGATTACTGCTCGTGCCTACAAATGACTCCCATCAGATGGCTTCCTTGCTGGCCAAATAAAGCCTAGACTATGGTTTTATTTAGCAATATGCCCTGGAAGCAGTGCTGGCTCTGGAAGCTTTTGGGAACTTCCCTCCTGTGGTCTGAGACAGAGCTCACCTACATCCCCAGATGCTTTCAAAGATACATCAGTCCCACTGCATTTAGGAGTTTCCAAAACCCTGGGGTATCGGAGTTTGGGATGGGTGCTCAGATTGCAGAAAAGCCTCAAATACCAACAGGCAAAGCTGCACCAGTTTGACCACAAACCGATCTGTCCAGGGGGCTCCAGGATCCCCTGGTTAAAGGAGGTTGGTCATCACCCACACAGTCTGTGGAGAAACACTTCACTTCCCTGGCCCAGGACAGTCTCTGTGGGAATGCAGAACCTGTCAAGACCTCCTCTCTCACACCTCCCAAACGTCTCACCTGTGTTCTACGAGACTACGCACTTCCCCTGTACCACATGACGGAGGAGGACATACAGGCTAAACACATAAACAGTTTTTAAAAGAATGCAAATCATTATCCAGATGCAACGTGCTTTAGGGTAACTACCACCACCTCGCATTTTCCCACAATACATTCTCGTTCAGACAAGGCAGGAGGCATTTGAATGCTATTGGGAAAAAAGTCAAGGCTGAAGCTTCAGGACAGTTTTCAGCACAGGCCTAGGCTGGTGAGTATAGACTGCCATCTATAAATACAGAACCACACACACTTAAGTGATATACATTAGTTTTATCTGTATTTATATATATGCATAAATTAAGTATACATGTGTGTGTGTATATACAGACACACATGCATCAATCTTAATTCTCCCTCTTTTGAGAAGCCTAATACAAATCTCTGAAAACATACATAAATTACTTGGATATTCTTAGGTATAAGCAATGTATTCTGATTGGAGTTTTCATAAATAGGCATTAAAATTCTCCACGGAAGACACCCTTGTGGGAATACCAACATAGTTGCCTGAGTTGTAAACTATAAATAATAGGCTTTAAAGATTCTTTGAAGAACAGGTATAGCCACTGTAAGTAACTTCCAGGACAAACAGAAGTGATCAGAACAGAAATCCAGACCTGAGCACACGGCTCCAAAACATCTGTATTGCCATTGCACATGCAAGTGCACAGGACTTCTCCAGTCCTCCCCGCCCCCCAAAAGTCCCTTTTAAAAGCTTTCTGTAATTGTGACGGGGCTACGATTGAAACAATTTAAGAAGAATATTTTGATACTGGATACAGTACAAGAAAAAAGTTCATGTTGCAAAAATCCAAGAAAATCCCTCAAATTTGGGGACAATGTGTTATATACCTCCTCCCTAAAAAATCAGGGCAATCTTTTCAGTCCACCTGCATAATATTTTTCCCTATCTGGGGTTTCTAAATATGCTCTTAAAATGACTTTTTATAAAAATACACTATAAGCCAATACACGGAATACCGTATTTTGTTTCCGTTAGATTAAAACCAAGAACGACACAACTGCGTTTTTAACTAAAACAAAGTTTCAAGTACAAACACGAGGATGGGTGACATGTTTTGAGGTATCAGTTACTATCCCATCTTTTCCATAACACACATTCCTATTGTAACCCGGTGAATTCCCTCAGCAGTACTGTGTACTACCCTCCCCAGATCAGGGGCAGGTGTGCTAGTAGCAACGGAAAGTTTGGTACAGATGAAGCCTGAGAAAATTCAGAGTAGAGATATGTCACTGGTGTAGAGGCAGCATATCCAGGCTTGCAAGAACTGCAAAATTCTTACCCTGTCTTATCATAGTTTCTTTTCCCCATCCATGAATACTTAGATCCTAATCCTGTGAGGTTTCAAGTACCTTCAAGCTCCTCCTCAGGGTTCTCTCTTGGTTCAAACCGTTAGTTTTCAATGAACCAGACTGAGCAACAGTCTGATTACAAGAAACTCTTAGAGCCTCAAAGTCAGCAGACGGATACACACAGAAAATAGGAAAAAAACCCAAAATACAATACAGAGGAGCTCCAGGATTCTAGCAGGGACCTATACAGTATCAGGAGTTTCATAAAGAAAGCATTTGATTTTTCTTTTGTGCAAACTGCACTGTACATGACAGAAGCAGTGCATGAGCCACAAAGTGCCCGCTTCACGTGACATTATAAATCTGCTGTGAACCCTGCACAGCCCATTAACTTTGTCTCTAGATCAATTCTCCAGAAAAATTCTAATCCCGTTAAACTTCCTGAACATCAAAGTTATATTTTACAGGAAAGAAAACAAAGGCAGAATTTCACATGTCCACACACTGGTGGTACAGAAAAATAACCAAGTCCTCATGTCTTAAGCACAAAAAACAACTGACGAAAGAAAACATGGTCCAGATGATAAAGTGCAATTATTATTTCAGTGCTAAAAAGATTTCCAATTCTGTAGTTTTACTTCTTCAACATTTTATTCAACTTATAATTATAACCTTTTTTTGCTTCTGTCCCCATCTTTCCAGTACTGTTCAGTTTGCATTTCTGTAAGCCGTGAGACAGTACGCTGAAAGGCAAAGATTTCCTCTTCTCCTGTAAACATGGAGAGTCCTTTGGCGGAATCCTATATCAATACACAAAAACAGTACCATAGAACTGTGAGAGACATAGGTGTACTGAAGTGCATCCCATCTGACTCCTAAGGCTGAGTGCTTTACAGGCTTTGACAATACAAGACAGCAGCATGGCACCAAAAAAAAAAAAATTAACATCCAAAAATTAAACAAAACCACCTATTTCAGCCAGGCAATACTCTGAAGGAACATAGTGAAACAATAATTTGGGTTTAAAACAATGTGGTGACATTAACCATCCATTTTCATTTTTCTGTTGACTAATTGTATACCGATTTAGACAAATCACTTAAAAATTCATTAACAGTAACTAAGTTATAGGGAAAAGGAAAAACAACAAAAGAATAAGCAACATGCAAAACCAGTACTGTTTGTGAGGATCTGTGAGGCAGTCCTATACAGTCCAGGAAGAGGTAGAACAGACCATCTTTTATTTCTGTATTTTAAAAGTAGGAGCTAAACTTAAATCAGTATTTTCATACATGATTGAACAGATATAATGATTAAAAATCAAAATGACCCTAAAACTTACACAAAATGGTTCTATATATTCTGACATTTTCTTTGACTATGAATAAGTAACATAACAGGCAATTATGAGAGTGACAGATACACTGCAGAAAAAGCAGCAAATCACTAGTTAAATGTTTACTTGATTCCTCTTCCTAAAATGCTGCTGTAATTATCAGACCAAAACCAATTTTGTTACAGAAGGGAGACAATGTTAATATCATGTACCTGGCTCAAGTCCAAATCATCCATCAACACTCGGTGGTCTTCTAGCTCACCATTGTCATGTTCTACCAGGAACAAGCTTTGAAGAGGAGTCACTGCAGAACAAATAATACGCACCTGAGAGAAGGAAAACAGGCAACAATATCATCACTCGGGCTTTACAGAAAAAGAATAAAATACACGGTTTATGAAAAGCAACCTTCAAATTACAGCCTTGGTTTTTTTCCAGGTATTTCTCCTTTCTATTATTAGCACTTCTGTTATAGATTTACCTGACTTAGTCATTTGGAATATGAACCCCACAGGATCTTTTTCGCAAAAACAACTCATGTAACTTTTACTCAAAGAACAGTGTAACTCTGCTATTAAATACACGGAATATCTGCTATACAAGAAATGAGTTTGCAATCAAGTCAAGTTTACTTTCTAAAATAACAACCATAAAGTATCAGTATAACCAATGCTTTCTTTCCCCCCGTAGTTAGGTTCCTCTCAGCAGGTAACTGCACTGCACCCATATTTCCATCTAAAAAAAAAAAGTTTAAATTCCAAATTTCCCAGAAAGCTGAGCAGAGCCACTCATGCTTTCACCTGTGCTACTCAAGTGCACATTATTTGTTAATAACAATAAGGATGCTGTCTTCATGTCTGCTGGGAGGAGACACAATGTGCAGTGAGATAAAGTATCTCTGGAGGGCTACAATGAAGACAGACTGAGATATTATTACAGGAGGAGACACTTGTTGAGAGTATGCAGGCAAAATGTTTGCATTGTAGACAGGTCTCCACAATTATGCCCTGCCAGGACATTCTTGAAAAAAAAAACCAAAAACAAAAACAAAAAAACCCAACCACACACAACAACAAAACCCCAAAAAACCAGCTCAACTGATATTTCCTGATTGCATAAATATTTAAGTGTGTGCATATGTAATCACACATAAGAGAGGGTTTCATACCTTGTATTACTTAAAAAATATTAAACATTAACTTCTCTTTGCTTTAGTAGCGCTGATTTTGCTTCCATGACTGAAACCTCTGTAAATCCACAAGAAGTGCTGCATTTATCATTACTATTCCATTAGCAGTTCTGCAACCTAATGCAGAGCCTACAGCGACTGTTTCCTTTAAACTCACTAATGTAAGTATGCTATCGACTCCTCTGTACGCTGTTCAGGAAGGCACTGGTTCCCAACCAACTGCACAGCTAGCAGCACAATCTTTCATCATTAAAATGATGACATGACTTCTGTGATTTTCCTGGGTTAGGAAAGAAATAACTTCCCTAATCAAGAAAGGCAAATGAGCTCTGGCTTATATTTACGGTCACGCTTAAAACTCACAGAAATCAAAACAATAACCTGCTTATTTGCCTTTATTGCAACAGGGCCTTTTTTGTGAAGCTGGAATGATGTTTCTTTGCAGTGCTGGTTCATTCTGCTTATGTTTTCCAAATCATTACTACAGAAAGCCTTACTTCAAACCAGTTATAACAGTTATGGGTTAGGGCTCCAAATATTACACATATAGGAAAGGCGTGGTTCTCACCTTATGCTCATAAAAGGTATCAATAAGAGTAATGAAACGACGAGCTTGTGTCCTTTTTGCCATTGTAAGAAGTGGTATGTCACGAACAAAGACTGTGTCAAAATGCTTTGATATCTCCAAATAGTCACTGGCCCCAAGAGGCTGAAACAAAACAGACCGTAAGAAATGGAAACCCATGACAGAATGATACATAAACACTGCATCTTGAAATACTACGATTACAGAAAAGAGGGGGTGAAGTCCTGATCATATTCTTATTTTTGTTTCTTCATATCTTGCTTCAGGAGTGCTTGTTTGCCCTTACTGACATAGTATCTGTGGGTTCATACTGTCAGCTTTACCTGAACTGTGTTCAATAGTTGAAAATGTGGCTCTTTGCATCCTGATAACGTTATGATCTCTCTGACAACCTCAAACAAAATAATCACTATAAACCATAATCCGTAGAAGACAAGACAAAACACGGTTAAGCTACAAAGTCAACCTAAAGCATAGATCTTCAAACAGCTTTTAGGATGCTTGCCAGCAGCAAGATTTTTAACCGCAAATGCATAGGCTAGTTACTAAATCATAAGCAGACCTGCATTCAGTTCACCCAAGACTAACCCAGACTGAATAAACCTCTTATGTTCTAAGTACTGAAAGCAACAGGAAATAAACAAAAATACAATTTTGTAGCAGTTCCTTCGTTCATGGTTTCACCTGTAATGATGAAATAAAAACCTTTAATAAGAACCTATAAATAGTTTCTATTTATATATCTGTATCATCAGCCGAAGATATGCACAAACAGTAGTAGCCCATTCAAGTACACATTCAAATACATTAATTTAAAATTACTTTTCATTACATGGAAGATTATGATTTCTGCAAAATCTGCCCTATCAGTACTGCAGGCAGTACTTTATCTTGAGCTATTAAGGCATTGTATTTAGGAGGAAAACTTCATACTGCTGCAACTTGTCCCATTAGTCTTACATGTGCGAGTAGTTCAGTATCTTGGACACAACTACTCCATAGAGCGAGATCAGCAGCTTTTTGCATGATAATGTCACATCTCCCTTCCCAGCTAATGAAATGTGCTGTACCAACAGTACAAAACGGGTATAAAGCACTGCAATACTGCTAATATCTCTAACTGAAACTGCCAGACAAATTGGCTGTAGGCCAAGCATAACTGCTTAACTAGAACCCTTCTGCAAGAAGTTATTTTGAGCAATTATTAATGGCTGTCCATCACCAGGATTTTGGCTTTTATTTAGATGCAAAAATTGAAAACCCCATGAAACTGCTATAAGCAAGCACAGGAGAGCAAAGCCTCCCATTCAGAACTCTTCTGAAAATTAATGGGAATAAGCTAGAACTTCTCACCAGCTAACCCCCGAGGCAGGTAGAAAGCCTCAGTCTCTAAGCCAGCTCTCTCGTTTGCAGTCTCATGCATCACCCTCCCATTCACAATGACTTCCCTGTGATATCTATGGAAAAGAACTATTACAAGAACTTTCAAGTGTATTTAGCAGTATTTAAGAGCAGTACATACCATATCCTCTCCTCAAAGTTACATATACTGTTCATTTTCTCCCTCCATTTCAGTTCCCTAGCCACTACTATGGAATTCTTAACCAGAAACCAAGACACTAATGATTATGAGGGCCACCAGCAACAGCTTCATGCATGACCTCTGAAAAAAAAATCTCATTGGGACAAAGAGTAGCTGAACTCAAAACGTTTTGATGAAATAAAGCATGAAAAGGTTCAAGAAAGCAGAAAGAACTGCTGGACGGAAACATTACAGAGCTAGCCCACCACCTATCTCACCATCATATACAAGTGATAGTATAATGGGTTTGTGTGGCAAGGTTTCGGTAGCAGGAGGGTTACAGGGGTGGCTTCTGCGAGAAGTTGCCGGACGCTTCCCCTACGTCCGACAGAGCCAATGCCAGCCGGTCCCAAGACGGACCCGCCACTGGCCGAGGCCGAGCCCATCATTGACGGGGGTAAT